TCTTTCCTCTTGAGGACACTTTTATTTCCAAGTTATGAAATACTGAGACCATAAAGGCGTCATCAGGATCTCTAAATACCCCCATGAAAACGTTCCCATTGACTTCAGGAGGTTTCCCCTCAGGACCTTTTCCCCGTAAGCAACCCAAGGAACTGCCCCAAGGAGAGCAGACACAACAGCAGCAAACAGCTACTCCTGGCTGCAAAGCCGGTTGCTTTATTCATTCTGAACCGATCAAGTCTTAGCATCGGCTGCTCCAGCGGAGGCGGCTTTGCAGCAAGCAGGGTTTCAGGTGAGCAGGTTTTCTCTGGCCCCCTAGAAGCTCTGCAAACAGCCTGGGAAAAATCCAGGGGTTTTTCCCCGGATAACTAGTCATGCGATTTACACCTAGCTCAGCTCTTGTTAACCATGTCACGCCATCTCCTTCCTGGGAGGGCCCGGGGGTCTCTCTGGGGGCTGCCCTGGGGAGTGCAAATGCTTGCAATGTTTAAGCAAACGCCAAGGGTCTCACCTGGCCACGTGTGTCCTGAGGCTGGGGCTTGTGGGCAACTTCGGGGGTGCAGGGGCACTGGGTGGAGATAGATGCACAACACTGGGAGCTGGGGTCACGCCCTGCCCTCACCCGTCCCCTGGGCAGGGAAGCCACTGCAGCCTGGTCCAAGCTCCGCTCTCCGCCGGGCTGCCCGACCCTGCATGCAGCTGGTGCCCAGTGCGTTGGGAGGCCGCACTGGCAGACTCCACCTCAAGCACCCAGGCTTCCCTCCCCCTCAGACACCTCCAGAGCCCTCACACCTACTCCCCAAAGCTCCCCTGCGAAATCCAGTCCCTCTTCCTCAAAGCCCCTCCCAAGCGTTCTCCTGGCACCCTAATAACGACCCCACAAACGGCCACTCACCGAGCCCTGGTGTCCCTGGCAGCAGCGTGGGGGGTTTCATCCTCTCATTACCGCTGTGCACCAAACTCAGCACCCAGCCCAAGCCCACCGGCAGCAGCGACCAGGACGCTGCAATGCCAGGCCTGCTGCAAAGAGGACCTGGGGACAGATGCATGCACCAAGCCTGGCAATGCAGAAGTGAAGCCACTCCAGGGACACCTGCAGGCACTCTCGAGCAGAGGGATTGGGAACAGGTGCAAGGGATAACTGCTCCTCGTGCCTGTACTGCTCTGTTTTAGGGTTTTGGGTGAGCAGGACAGCACCCCCCCCAGGCACGCACCATAGGCATTTGTCCAAGGTCACCAGGGAGCCAGACCCAGGCCCTCCAACACAGGGTCCTTCCCTTCCTCCCCTCACCAATACGACTGTGCCAGCATGGCTGGTAGTTCTCTCACATGCAAACAGCCCAGAACCAAACCAGCTGTGGCTCCTATTGTGTCCTCATAAGAAATCCCCAGCTAGCAGGTTGCTCAGCAGATCCAGCACATTAGTTTAAAATAGTGCAGGGGGATGATTCAGAGGCAGACACCCTCAGCGCTTGCACAAGACAGCTTTGGAGAATGGGTGTAGGCGGTTTGCATTGGCATTGAGAAAGAAAGATCATTCAAGAAACCTCGTCTCTACCAGAAACTATTTAGAAGAGGGGAGAAACTCCACACACATCCAAGATCCCGCACACGCTGAAGAAAGTCACTTGTACCTGTTCTGCGAGCAACGAACTTAGGATCCAATCCTGAAAACTAGGACTTAATTCCACACCCCTAATAGTCCCAGCATGTTCATACCCATTTTCAGGTGCTGGCCTAAATAATTCCTGAAAAGCTTTGGTGAGCTCCACCTAGATTAAAGGATTTACAGGGATGTTGCACTTATCCCGAGCACAAGTGTTTGCACCCACAGCAACAGCAGACAAAGAAGAGCTCGAGTTGGGCAGCACCACGTAGCCTGCCTAATTTGGCCTCCCAAAATAACTTGCACCATATGACAAAATCCGTCAATTGTGATAGATGGTTTAGCAGGCATCCTGACTGCCCATTCAGAAATGCTTAAGCCAGTCCCACAAGGCAAGAGCCCCCCCCACCCCGAGGAGAAGACCCCGCTCCTTCCCAGACACATGAAGCTCGTCTGCGTGTTGTTGAAAGTCTCCAGTTCTAATATTTCTTGCTGGGTTATCGGAGTGTTTTACTATTAGTGTTATCCTGTAGTGCTAGCTAGTCAGCAAGAATTAAAATATGCCTTAAAGCAAAACATAGGCTCTGGCTTTTGGGGTCTGGGTAAGCCTGTAGTGCAGCAAAGACCTAAACCTGCTTACTGTTTTCAGCCCTTCTGAAGTCTCCCCAGTTTGCCCGTCCTAGCAATGAGACGCGCAGGACAGAAAAGAGCAGTGGGGCCAAGCTTTGTGTGTGCCACAAAGCAGCCCCATCTGCTGCTCTGCTTTCTGCTCCAGCTGTCACGGGACCATAGGAAACCAGGGCTAGAAGGGACCTCACAAGGTCATCTAGTCCAGCTTCCTGCTCAATCCTTAACTAACAAACTATCCCAACTAAGTGCCTGGTCTACTCTGTTCTGGAAAGCTTCCAAGGATGGAGGCTCCACAATTTCTCTAGGTAGCCTGCTCCAGTGCTTGACCACGCTCATAGTCCAAACTTTCCTCCAGATCTCCAACCTGAATTTCCCTTCCTGAAGTTGTCACTGCTGCCGGTGCCCTCCCGGATCTGCCACGTGCTGCACACAGGCTGCCCAGGCCACGAGCCGCCCACCGCGGGAACGCAGCTTTGCAGACAGGGAGGCACCAGCTTTTGTGATCCGGTTTTTGGTCTCTTGCCACTCCTGGCTGTGGTTTACACTGTTCCCTTTTTAAGCCATGCTGGGCTTTGCTTGGGAGGGGGCACAAATCACTCAGAGCACTGGGCTGCTGGCTGCTCCGGTGGGTGCTCGCCTGATCCCGCACGCCAGCTGAAATCTCACCCTAAAACCTCCCGAGGACCGCTCTGGGGATACTGCCACCTTTCCAGGATGAATCAGCAGTCTCCATTTCAAACCTGTTTGACTGGCAAATTCCTGGCGGCCTCTAGCATTTGGGCTTCTCTTGATAAAATGAACTAAGTACCTCTGCTGGACTTCATTCGCACCCAGTCCTCCAGCAGGTTTCCTTCTGCAGCTGCAGGAGATTTGGGGATTATTTCCCACACAGCTGTAGTAGGGGCATTTTGTAAAACACATCACTGTTTGTCCTTATCTCTTCTCTACCTGTGCATTATTTCTATCCTTGCAACTCCTCCCAGGTATTTTCATTTGCAGACTTAATTAACAGTTTGCTCCTTCTTCTAGATTAACGATGTTATCATGAAATAAAACACGATTTCATTATTAAATGGCTTGCCTCGGTTTTCAAAAGTGTTTGGAGCTCACCCAAGTGCAATTACCGCTACTTACCTAAATTCCCCTTGTAGTGTCAATTAAATATACTATACAGCATATATTCACCTCTTGTGCTAAATTACTGTTTATAAAAACTGGCGCATTGTATAATGTTCTTCTGCATCTACAAACCTGCTTTGGAGAGAGAGGTGCGTGTTGTTCACTTCTGCTAAAAAACAGTTCTTGTGCCAATGCTGGGATCCACAGCGACCTGGGAGATGATTCAGGGAAGGGAATAGGAAGAACATCAGTGATGCTGATGAAGGGCAAGCCGGAGCAAGGGATTTTGAGAATTTCCTTAAAGTGACATTTGTAACACTAAAAAAACTCCCCATGCGTAATGCCTGAATATATGGGAATTGTAGAAAGATTTGTTTTTTTCCATTCTCCAACACATTTGTATACACTGTGTAAGTGAGTATTCGGCACTAGGCTCCATAAGCACATTCAGAAGGAAGAATTTCTCCCTTGCCAAATCCTTCTGAGACTTAAAACTCACATTTATTCTGTATAAATCCTGAAGAGCAGCAAGATTCAATTGATCTGCTCTTAATTTATCCATCAGTGCAGTATTTCATTTGTTTTTTTTTTTAAATCAAGATGAAAAATTATGTTTTGTCTTTGAAACGATGCCTTATACTTGTTTAGCTACTGCTCCTGTTATCTGAGGGAGAGTACGGGGAGAGGGGCCCTCTGCCTCTTGTTTTCTATGCTGTTATGCATCACTGGTATCTCAGCTGAGTTACATATCTAAGACTTGGAAACAGTCTGCTTTATATTTATAATTTTTTCTTTAAAAACCCAACTATTTTGTTAAACAAAGCAACTTAAAGCAAGTCCGGGTTATATCTTCCAAAATGAAAGAAAAAAATGTATATTGCCATAGTGAAAGGAGTCTTAATTCAGTTCCCCTCAACTGTGCTGGCATTAATAACCACGCGCACCATCACTTGGACTGTGAACTGATGCTAAATAATGTGTTTTAGTTACAAAGATATTCATGTCGAATGCTACACTGTAACTTTCGATGAAATTAAAGAAGCAATAGTCCAAGGCTAATGAAGATAGTTTTTCGGCGGTGACTTTGTTTCAAGCTCGATGTTACCTTTAGGCAGGGATAGACAAGAGCACGTGCGTTTGAAACGTCCGTTTCCAAAATTGCTCGGCAGATGTGGAAACATTTTGGATCGTGTGAAACGCTCTTCTGGGGACAGGGCGAAGCTCCACTCAGAAAATCATCAGAGCCACGGGCAGGTTCATTTTTGCTTCAAGGGACACCTAATTAGAGAGGGTTTTACTATTAAAACTATTACATGAAACTGCTCTTGCAGCCTTATCACAGGGAGTGGATTAATTTTGTTTTACCTCCTTTGAAGGCAGGCAGAAGCAGTTTTACGTAGGCTGCAGCCGTGACCTGATAAGGCTTCCTATTCGGAGGAGCGAGATGATGGCTCAGGAAGGTGTTTCAGGGCAGAGAAAGGCTTTGGGCCAGGAGATGCTGGGCAGGCATACAGACCCCCCGCCCCCATGTTTCTCCCAAGGGAGCAGGGGCAACCTTAGAGCAACCAGAAGGCAATTTCCTTTGCCCACTTGGAAGAGGGCAGGAGACGGCAGGCAGCCGTGCGAGGCACCAGGACAGCAGGATGCCTCCAGGCAGGTGTGCGAGGCGAGGCACCTGAACTAGGCGGACGGCTGTTGATTGGCAGCATACTCACCACGCCGCATGCCTTGCCGAGCGGCTCCTCCCCAGCAGCGGTTAAATCCTAGAGGGACACTGCCACAGCACGTCTGGGCCCCAAACTGCACTCCACGAGCACGTTCTACCAGACACGACGTAGCCAGTCGCTCCAGACCCAAACTCGGGTTCCTCTGGAGAGTTTGGAGTCAAACACTGTGGGAGCCGCCCCTGGAAGCCTTGTACGGACTTTCTTGGAGGAGACCTCTCCCCAGACTTTTGCAAGCCCACATTAGCAGTGTTGTGTTAGTGCAAGACTGGCACGGCAGCCTACACTCTGGCAGTGTGCTCGTCTCTCCTTCCTATGCGTGGCAGCCTCTTGGGGACTCTTCTATTATTTTCTTAAAATACACCGAAAGCCTACAAGAGACGGTACTAAATGACTCACAGCTAAAGCAAGTAGTAAATATCTGGGCTGCGCAGTTGGGCGCTCGTGTAGACGTGCCCACACAATGCCAACCTGGCAGATGCCTTCCCCTCCCTGCAACCGCGCTCCTGCCCGCTCTCTCCCGATTTTTCTAGATCTTGTTTCATCTTGTCATGAGTCAGCACCCGACTCTGCTAAGATCAGGCACATCCCTTCTCTGCAAACTGCCTGGATAGATAGCTATGAATCCAAGTGATCCAGAGATACTTGTTTGCGTTCATCCACAGATGAATGAAAACTGTTAAAATTGCCTGAAAACTAGGTTTAAAACCTGTTTTCTATTTTAAATAGTCTTAGGTACTTACAGGATTGTCTTTTTAAGTTGGCTTTTCCAGCTTGAGATTTTTTTCAAGGGACATGGAGATAGTCTTGCAAGGGAGTATTAGGAGGAATAATTCAATTGCAATATGCTCCGAACTGTCAGGGGGTTTCTGATTGCAGTTAACATATCTTTGTTGAACTGAATCCAGGCTATAGAAAGAGCGGCCCCCGCGGAGAACGACAGAATTCGAGTCCGAACGTGACCACGTGGGATGTGCTCTGCTCCCATCTGCGAGCGGCAGACGCGTGCCAGAAGTAATCAGACTCTTTCTGTGAAAAAGAGACAGCCTGCCTTCACGAGGATTAGGCCCGGCTACCAGGGAAAATAAAGGAGCAAGACAAACAGAATACGGGTACACCGCTAAGGGAAGACATCCGGGCTCATTTACAATGCTCTCTAGTGAACAGTTTCTTCTTTCCCCCTACCTCCACTAAGGATTCGATGTAGTTACGGGGGCTGAGGGTCTTCCCTCTTTCCCGAGGAGGATGGAAAACGTAGAATCTGCACACGATCTTGGTCTCTAGCCAAGGCAGTGGCATAGTTGTCCCATACTGAAGCATTTACTCTCGAGACGACAGCTACCATAATTAACATGTCTTTTCTCAAACAGTCTGTACTGCTGTTGAAATCATTTTTAAAGGCAATTATGCAACTTCAACAGATTAAGCCATTATACGCGGGCACCTTTCTGCTGCAATGTGAATTCGTTGGGAAAGAACACACATCCTGCTACATGCGAAGAACGTCAGATAATGGGACAGTGCTGAAGTTTAGATTTTTTTTTAAATGACCTGGTAACCATGGCAGCGTCCCTTCAATAAGCAGCACATAACCCAGCAAGCAACGTACTTTAAATACTGTTTCAGGGTTTGTTGCTCTGCCGTATCTAGAAGCAGTCTGATCTTTAGACACCAGAGAAGGCCCAGAGACATTTCGGAGTACAGTGAAGCGTGCTCATACTCTTCTGGATGGAGAAAAGGCTTGTGTCTGCTACCCGCATACAACATCACCTAGATCCAAAGTAGGAACTGAATTAATTAGGCTTCCAACCAGGGAAACCCCATAGGGCAAGGGAACTGGGTTTGAGTCTGCACTTTTGCTTCACATCAGGGAGAGGATGACAAAGGGACCAGGTACTGAGTTCTGTCTTTTTCTCCGGCCTCACTTGCTTTTTGCTGTCTGTGAATGGATTAGCGCTTCTTAGTAACTGCACAGAAGTATATTGTAGGTGTTGTGTGCATTAACTAACCCTCGCATTTTCCCTGGGAGGTAGGTAAGTAAAGGAGAGGGCGTTTACTGGCCCACTTGGGAGAAAAAGAGCAACGCGATCGGCCTGCGCCTCTGTTGGAAACAAAATGGTAAAGTTGGCAGACCAAAACTTTTCATTCATCCCTATGCAATCAGCGCTACAGCAGTGCAACGGAGGTCGTGGATGCTGCATCCCTGGAAATGTTCAAGAGCAGGTTGGACAGACACCTGACTGGGATGGATTAGGGAGGGATGATCCTGCCTTGAGCGGGGGGCTGGGCTGGGCTGGATGTCCTCGTGAGCTCCCTTCCAGCCATGTAATCAGCATGACAAATGCCCTCAAAATCTGGCTGCCTAACAGGCGAGGCCGGAGGAGGGAAGAGGCAGAGGCCTTGCCTTAAAGGTCTACATGTGATTAATTTAGCTTACCCGATAGTCTCCGCTGCCTAATGCAGCATGCCCACGGACGTAGAGCTTTAGCTATCAAACAAACACGCTGCATTTCATAACTCCTCCGGGGGCCCCGATTAAAGAACAGCGCGTTTCGGAAATGCAGCATGTCGCAGGTAACTGCAAGAAATAACGACTGTCGGAGGTGTTATGTCCTCGCGTGGCAGAGGAGACATTTGGCTAAGGGTGCAGGACCCGCTGCAGCTGGGGAGCCCGGCAGGCTACAGTCACAACGCCTCCTGCCTTCCTGGCTTTCCTCCGTGCCCTCCAAAGTGCAGGCTCCACTCTTTGTCTGCACACAGTTTGTGGTAAGACCCCTTCATTTCTTCTAACCAGTTACACCAATTAGAGGTGTTGGTTTTAGCCGTCTTGGTCTAAGGTGGTTTTTCAGTTGGTCTAAAAGGGTAGATCTAAAAAACCACCTTAGACCAACATATACCATCAACCACCTTAGATCTACCCCACGTGCCATCTAGAGGTAGATCTAGCCCCAGGAGCAGCACGGTGAACTAGTCCCGATAAC